CTATATCACATCCAAGACTGAACAACACTATTATTTCGCTTTGCAAATATACGGGGCAAGTTCTAGACATCAAATGCAATGCACAGAATAACACACAAACCTCTCACACACATGGCACATAACTCACTCAGGATTGGTTTCATCAAGATACTCTAGCCAAAGCAGTTAAGCAAATTTAAAATTATACAATTTAAGGTACTTATGCTAGAGTCAAAAACTGAGCCTAAGCATCACAACCAAAGTACTCACTATTCTCAAGGCATAACAAAGTCAAGAGATATTGCTTCAATTCAATTCATACCACAATGGATCCTACTCCTAAAAAAACTACCTACACCCGGTTCAAACAAAATCTTTGGAAAAGAACCACGGCACAAAGAAAAACCAAGGGGGAATTACTACACTACCTACAAAGAAAATCTTTTTGTCCTTTTTCTTTAGACTTAAATCCCTCAAGAAAACTGTCTAGGAGATCTATCGTCGGGAAGAGTCCAATTTTTCTACCTTTTTTATCGATTTTTTTTTTTTTGCTACTAAAATACTACACAACTACGAAAACAAAAATAAGAAGTTAATATTTTTCTACATCCCACTACTAATTATCTAGAGATTTCTCCCACCCCACACTTAAAAGAGTGCAGTGTCCCCAATGCATAAATAAAGTAAAATAATAACAAGGGTGGACAAAAAACTCCCTGAAAGTCCAAAGGCTGAAGCAATAGCGGCTCACGGGGTACTCAGACTTTTCCCAAGCATGATCCTTTATGCGGGCACCCCACACTTAGTTCTCACCATCTAGCTTGATTTTGCGTTCTTTCAAAGGCTATTCTTCATATTCTTATAATCCTACAAAATAAAACAACCTTACAACAATAATAAGATAAAAATAAAAATAAAAGAAAGCAGTAAAGATGGGTTACCTCCCAACAAGCGCCTAATTTAACGTCGCGGCACGACTTGTAGCACTTTTTGTCTCCATCTCGAACTTATAAATTGAACCCCCAATAGGGTATCTAGTCTGTGGCTATGCTCCTTCGGTGGACAAAGAAAACCAGGCCAAGCAATAAAATTTTCGCTCTATACCTCTTGACCTTTAGATGAGGAATGTAATTTTTGCTTTTTGGCACAACAAATTCAAGAATATAGGCACCCTGTTCCTCGTCCATTGGCTCTTTCAAAGGCTCGGATGACTCGATTTCCATGTCATTATCCAAACACAATGTTGAAAAATGTATGGAATGAGGACCAATAAGCCTTAACTCTAGAATTGTATTACTCTTTATATCCTCATATGTACACAGACTAGAGTCTTCAATTATAATATTATCTACTTCCTCACATGAATCTAGACCACTCATCTCAGCATTGGCATCCTCAAGAAAAATATGATCTAATGCTTAGTATTCTCGTTTTAGCTCCTCAATTTGGTCTAGAAGATTTTTTTCAGTTTCACACAACTCATCATTAAATTGTTTGGCGTTGAACGCATCAACCTTTGCACTCAAATCTGCATCCAAGTTGTGCAAAGCCAAGCCAAACTTATCAATTTCCTGCGCAAGATCAACTCTCTCCTTCGACCAGTCATTCACCAACTTTGTTAGAAGATAACGCCGTTCCTCATATTTCCTTAATCGTGAATATTAGTCTCAATACCAACCCTTACTCCCATATTCAAATTCAGACCTCCCATAGTTCAGGTCATGACAAGCCCAAAAGGACGGGCCATAAAAGTCTTCTGTCAACCAAGCGTCTTCATCAATAACCTTACCTCTGGATATTTCATCCCCAGATGTCATGTTGAGAGAACTATGAACACACTAAGAGAAAAATTAAATTATTATAAAAATAAAAATATTTACAAAAAGAAAAAATAAGCAAAACCTGTAAAGATAAAAGTAAAAGTCTAATAAAAAAATAACAAAACAGGAAAATTAAAAACTTGAACAGAAATCAATTAAAAGTTTAACTTAGATAAACAATCAATAACTAAGTTCCCGGCAACGGCACCAAAAACTTGTTGGGATCAAACACACACGTAAGTATACGTGGTCGTCAAGTAATAAAGTGACTCGAAAGTCGGATGTTGAACCCACAAAGACTTAGATTGATCGTTAACTAAGCAAACTAAAATCAATTAATTGTCCAAGGTATTTAAGAGTGATATTTTTTTATTAATCTACTATTGCGGAAATTAAACAAATAACAACTAAATTATCAAGAATACGATTTTGTATGACGAGATTTTACTTCAGAGGAGATGAAAATTCCAGGGTTGTGGTTGGTTTATCAATCCTATTAAGTTCAGTGATCACACTCGTTAATCCAGATTATCTATGGTTGCTAATTAACCGGTTCGTTTATATGAATAGCATGTTCCCATAATACTACTCGTCTGCCCACAATATATCAATCTTATATTCTTATGGTATTAAGTCTATCATGAACGAATATAATACGGTATTTAATTAAGCAAGAATGTTAGGTATATTTCTATCCTAACCGCGAAATCTTTCCCCGAGCCACGGGTTCAGAAACAAGCTCTCTCTAATTCTACTCTAATCTAAATACGGCTTTCCCAAGCATAGCATAGATAGTAGTATGAATTGGTAGCTACAACAATTCACAAATTAAAACTAGAATAAAAAAAATAACCATAAGATGATAATCCGAATTAACGAAAATGTAATTAATAAACGTTAATAATCATGTTAACCACAACCCTAGAACGTAGAGTGCTTAGCCACTCATGTTTGTAGTAATAATTTTTCAAGTATTTTGCATAAACAAATTACAAAGAAAAAATAAAGGGATGAAGAACTCATGATTTTCTCCTCCAAAAGTTGTCCACATGATGTTCTTGTCTCCGGTCGTCAAAAAACTCCTCAAAGTGGCTTTTGAGGTCTATTTATATGTGTAGGAAAAGACATAAACGTGTAGGTCAAGTCCCAGTCAAACCAGGAGACGAAATAAATCTTTAAAACTCGGACTGGACCTCGCCCTAGGCCTGGCGTCGCCAAGCTAACGCCCGGTTAAACTGCCTTTGCCTTGCAGTGCCAGCCTAACGCCCGGTTAAGCTGGCCTTTGCCTGGCCTCACCAGGTCTAACGCCTGGTTAAGCTGGCCTTTGCCTAGCCTCACCAGGTCTAACGCCTGCATACAAGCCCGGCGTCGCCAGCTTTCTCCTTTTCACTGTTCTCGAGCACACTTTCAATGTTTAAGTATCCCCTTTGTTCTACTTTCATCTCTAATTTACCTACACATAAAATAGACTCCATTACGCGCAAATAAAGTGTAATTTATTATTAATGCATGTAAAATGCAAGGTAAATAATGTACGAAACTATGGAATTATACCCACATATCATGACTCGTGTACTTATATTCTTCAGCTGCTTTGCATTATACAATCTTGTGTTAGTCCATGACCCCATGTTGTAATATCACTTTATAAAACTTCATAAACAGAAATTAAAATTACGTTAGAAATCTAGAAAAAAGAAAAAGAAAAATAAGAGATCTTTTTCTAAATTCCATTAACTTCAACATCAAGTGCGTCTCAGATACCTATCGAGTATAGATAAAATATGGAAAAGCTGATTCTCCTTACATTATATATCACTCCATATTTCCAATTATTCTTCAACAAAATATAAGAAAGAAAACAGAAAAAGAAATAGTAGCAAATTAAGTGGAATGTGAGAATAGTGTAGGTTAGAGGTGGGACATGAGGAACGGGAATAGCTTTTGGCAATAATCATGAGTAGCAAATAGTGAAAGTAAAGTTTACAATTTGACAGCAGCAAATGTTGGCAATAATCATGACGTAGGAGTGGTGTAAATAAAGTTTACAAATTGACAGCAGCAAATGCTACAGAATAAGAGTAGAATGCAAACTATTAAAAGGCATACGCGCCATAGCCTTTTCGATTAATTTTTTCAGTGACCTACACTAATTCTTGCAACAAATACTACATCTTTGTACGTTTTGTAGTTTTGATAAATTTTCATGGCTTTGATAGAATATTCTCTCGAGTTTAAATTTAGTTTCCTCAAAGCAGGGGCGGACCAATGTACACGAACCTTGACTTCTCTTTTTCAATTTCAGCAACACAATGAAATGATAATTGACATACTATAGTTAAATCATTATCAAACACAAATGACAAAGTTAATTGTATGCGAAAGCAAAAAATTATATGTAAATTAAATTATCAAGAATCTATATAATTAATTGCTTAGATGGTCACTCAACAATAAAAATTATCTTAAAAAGTTAATTTTTTATTTTGTAATCAAAAAGTCACTTTGTTAATGCTAATTAACACACAAAGTCATTTTTTTTTACCCAATGCATACAGAGTGCTCACCACAGAATACTCACCCGAAAAATAGGGGTTGTGACAGAAGCTGTAGCGGCTACGAATTTTCTTGGGGTTCCGAACATTCCACCAAGATTTTCTTTTTCTGACCCCATCTTTTCCTTAAAATTGGAAGATACGTAAGGCAGCTACTCCAGTAGTCAAATGACTTTATAAGGAGAAAAAGAAAGAAGAAAAGAAACACAGACGATAATGCAAAGGTATTAAAATGAATATAAGTCACATGTTAAATTGGGGTGCCATATTTTAATAGCTGACTGGACGTTCCTGCATATCAACCCACTAATTAAGACTTAGTAGATGCCACATCTACAAGAAACATTCTACCTCAATGCTTATCCTAAGAGACGTTTCACACATTTTTAACCTTTCAAGAGTCCAAAAACAAATATTTACTTTAGCTGCATGAAGAATCCTTTACGAGATTAGCACTAATTCTCATTGGGTGGGTACTTCTGTTTTTCTTATATTTTATAAGGACAATTATTATTCTAGCTAGCTAGTTGCTCCTTCCTGGTAAAGTTACACCACTTTCCTTCCACTGCCCAAAGTGAAGCATTTTAATTTTTCCAACTATAAATACCCCCATTAACTAAGTACTTCCCATCACCAAAACAAACCATCTCTCAAAGAAAATAAGACAACCCTAACAAAGAAAAACCGTATTTTTTTTAATGGATAATACTCAAAATTGTTCATCTATTAGTTGTGAAATACAAATCATAAGAGGAAGAAACATAGAGCAAAGCTTTTTAGGAAAAAGCAACCTGTTTGTTAGATGCTATCTTCCAGCAGGAAACAACCAAAGAATTCAGCTAAACAGCCAAGAAATTTCATCATCAAAATCCGACAACTTTTTTTGGGATGAATCTTTCTCATTGGATTGCATGGGAACTCAAGAATCCATTAACATGCTGAAGCAAGGAACAGTCGTTTTCGAGCTCCGATCAAGAAAATATATTCCAGTTTTGGGGGAAAATATTGGTGGATCACAAGTGTTGGGGAGAGCTGAAATTCCATGGAAAAGAGTGTTTGAGTCAACAGAAATGGAGATTGAGGAATGGGCAATATTCATGGCTACTACTTCAAAGAATAATAAGCGTTTGCATAATGAAGATGTGAAACCTCCAGCAATTAAAATAGCAATGAAGGTTAAAGTAAAAGAGGCATTTAAAGTTACTAATAAAAATGAGAAGTTGAGAAGATCATGGGATGAGTCATGTGCATGCAAGGGTTACTGTGGGTGCAATGGTAGTAGTATTTTCAGTGCTGATGATTATGAAATTTTTGCACTTGGAGCTGCTTTAGATGCCCTTTAATTTAAGGTGATAGGCTAATTTTAATTTGTACTAGTGGTTTTAGGTTTTACAGTTTCTAGAAATTTTATGCCTCTGATAGAATACAAGCTTTTGAAAAAAATCTTTTCAGAGAAATTGTTCTGAGTTAACTTCATTCAGTTTCCTTAAAGTGAATCATGACTTCTTATTTTTAACTTTCAGCACCACAATGGCACGATAATTAACATATCATATATATGTGATTTCTTACAATTAAATAAATCACTATCTAATACAAATGACAAAGTTACGTTGTTCATGCAAATTAAGATTACGAAAAAAGTTTAGACCCCCAGTGGAAGAAACTTTTAAGAGTCCAGCAATTTGTTTCTGTTGGTTCTTTTAAAATTTGGAGCCGAAAAAGTGTTTCTGGGAATGGGGTGTTGAAGGCAAGTAGTCAAAGCAGAAAGAGTTTAAGGGTCAAATGCCTAACCCTCACTACGATAGTGGTATTTAAATTACCTATTTGATTGGGCATGGAGTTTAAGAAAAAATAAAAAATTTTAAAATTTGTGATTCTAAACAAGTCAAAAAAGGGTCGAGAGTATTTGTGTGGTTATAAAAGCTTTTCACTAAGGGTAAAATTAGGAGTCTAAGCTAAATTATTTCCAAATTTAGAAATGAGTCATTCTTTTTGGAACGGACCAAAAAGGAAATAGGTTCACATAAAATGAAACGGAGGGAGTATTAAAAGAAAGAAAAAAAGCAGTCTACCCACAAAATAGAGGGATTTATGTGTTGTGTATGAGATGCAGTTTTTATGAGATTACACAATAACACCTCTCTATAACATCCTTATATAATAACTATTTACTATAAAATCCGAGTTATTCTCGGAACCGAATATTATATTATGTTATAATATATGTCCTCCATAACAGCACTTCACTATAGCAGCCAAAAGATTTCGGAACAAATGAGGTTGTTATAGAGAGGTTTGACTATAGCCTGTTTGGCCAATCTACAAAAATTAGCTTATTTTGAAAAGTATTTTTCTCAAAAGTACTTTTAGTGAGAAGCAGTTAGTGTTTGGCTAATTTATTTGAAAAACACTTTTGAGCAGTAATTATTATTTGGCCAAACTTTTAAAAATTGCTTCTAAGTGTATTTTTTTAAAAAGTGCTTTTGAAAAAAAGCTACTTTTTTCTGTTTTGCAAAACTGTTTCTGCTTCTACTCAAAAACACTTTTTTTTTCTTCTAAAGGCTTGGCCAAACACTTAAACTTTGAAAAAAAATATTTTTTTTGCAAAAAAAAAAAAAAAAAAAAAAAAATACTAATTTGGAGAAGCTTTGCGAAACATGCTATTAGATATATAGATTGTTTCATATATACCTGAAGCATAGTTAATGTACGGATGATAAGTACCTAATGGAATAGTACCGTCTCTTCACACTGCAATTAGATACTCTTATATACTTTACTACTAGTATGCTACATTTATTCTTCCTTTTACCGCAAAGAATATAAAAGGTAAGAAGAGATATGCGATTGCGGCGAAGATTTGATCTAAAACGAAGCATTTCGTCTATAGGCATTGTAGAAAGGATAAAATTTGAGCCTAATTATTTTTCTCAAATCGTTTCAGTACGATGAACCAGGGGCTAGAAAAAATGCAACACTGATAGAAAAGTTCGCTCCGCCGCGTAAGATACTCGAATCTACCACGACTACCATTTGAGGTCCATTTTCGTTCTCTTCCATGTCCGGAAAGGGGATCAAATAAAGGTAGTATGCTTCTCTCCTGGACGGATGACGATTTATGTAGTTGGGCTATGTCAATAAAAGGTAATACCTACTAGTTAGGAATATAATTTAGATTTGTTAGAGAACTTCTCTCTCTCTCTCTCTCTCTCTCTCTCTCTCTATATATATATATATATAATTTTATTTTATTTTTACTCATCTTATTTTATTTCGGTATGATAATTATTTTGAGTTGAGTTTCAAGGAAGAAGTGAGGATTTATATCGTCATCCCCAACTTGTTTGGGACTGAGGCATATTTATTATTTTCGTCGTCAATCATTGGGTTTCTATTTTCTACTTTAACAGATGAAAATTTTGAATACTTGAAAGATTCGTTTTCAACCTCCGATCTTTCTACTATTAAAAATCCTCATATTAAAAATCTTCATTTGTGACCAAAACAGGTTAGTGCAAGATCATGTGAGTAAATTAAGAACAGTATACCACAGACAGAAAGACTCCTTAGGCTCCATATTAAGACCTTAACTTGTGACTTAAAAGATCTTACCAACTTCACATGGCGTCTGCTAGTAGCAATTTTTTTAAATTAAAGTCATCACCAAAAGCTATACTAACTTGGGATAGAGGGTTTGGAAGGGCTTTACCTATCTTTAGAAGCATGCTTTGTTTAATTGATTAATGTGATATAATTTTTCTCATTAGTTGTTAAAGGGGCCTCAAATATTGAGCAAGCAGAATCAATATCAAGACATAGTACATATAGTTGTCTAGTTGTATAAAATATAGTTGGTTATAGATTTTTGGTCTAGTTGTATAAAATATAGTTGGTTATGGTTTTTTATCCTTTTTTTAAATTTTTATATAGAATTGGTTATGGGTCTTTGTCTCTTTTTGTTTCCCATTTCTTTGTATAAGTAGAGGTACATATACAATGTGCAGACATAATGTTGAAGTAAAAGGTGAAAAATATTCCTACTGCTTTCATGGTATCAGAGCAAGTGCTCTAATTTAGAGATCTTATTTCTCTATCTTTTGTTATTTTTTTCCCCTTTTGTTTTCTCCTTTCATCTTTCTGTTCTATCATTTCCTTGCTATGGATGTTGCTTTAGAATCTGGTATTTCATCTGGAGAAGTCACACCCGGGACTGTCCTTGATGCTGTTGTTGGGAATACCATAGTAGTAGCTTCAAATTTGGTGGATGGAACACATTCATATTTTCTCAACTCTTCTGATTCTCCTGGAATGGACTTTATTAATGTCAGTTTCAATAGAACTAGTTATAGAAATTGGAGAAGGGGAATATTAATCTCTTTTTCTGCTAAAAACAAACTAGGATTCATCAATGGTTCATGTTAAAAACTAGTTAAAAACTCACCTCTGTTTGCACAATGGAGGAGATGCAATGACATGGTCATTGCTTGGTTGTTAAACTCCTTAAACAAGGATATAGTAGAAAGTATCATTTACTCTCAAATAGCTGAAGAACTTTGGGCTGAGTTAGAACAAAGATATGGCCAAGCTGATGGTGCAAAGTTATTCCAGCTGCAAAGAGAACTTAACAACATTTTGCAAAGAATAAATGATGTTGCAGTATACTTTACCAGGCTCAAAAGAATCCGGGATCAAATGAAAGTTCTTAATCCCTTCATGACTTGTGGGTGTGAGTGCAATTGTGGAGCAAAAATTCACAATCACAAAATGAATGAAGATCAAAAGCTAATCCAGTTCTTGATGGGGCTCAATGAGGGATATTCTGGAGTAAGGGGGAACATCCTCATGATGAAGCCTCTTCCTTCCACAGCACAAGCTTATTCAATCATTTTACATGAAGAGTCTCAAAGGGAGGTACATTCTGGTCACCATATGTCGGCTGAGCCTAATGCCTTCAAGGTTACTGCAAAAAAAAAAAAAAAAAAAAAANGGTGAAAATTATAACAGTAACACTAACAGTGAGTATATCAATTAACTCTAATCAAGTAACAAAATATTTTTAATGATCAAATTTATTCTTTTATGTACAGTTTTCTCTCTCTAGGTTGATATTTGCTAGTTTTGGATTAAAATTTTGTCAACAAATATTTTTAGATTTATACTTTTGAGTACTTTAATTTAGAATATTATAGGTTATAACTTTATGCACTAGTTAGTATTCAAACCGAATAAACCGAAGTTACCAAACCGAATAAACCGAAACCGAAAGGAGAAAAACCGAATCATACCGAATTTAATTAGGTACGGTATTGCATTTTAAGAAATCGAATACCGAAAATACCTAACCGAAATGTCTAAATATCGAATCGTACCGACCGACGAACCCCTAGTTGTTCCTATTGTGCAGTACAATGGGCCTCAAAGACTACGGAAGTGACATAACAGATTTTTATGGTTAACTGGAAATTAGGCCCACCAACGCTGGCCCATCCTTGGTTCAGAACGATAGATCGATAATGTCATAAATCAAGAATAGATATTTTGGCAAACTCACACTTGGCGGAACACAACTATGTGAAAGAAATCGCCGGCCGGATGGGGGGTTAGGGGTGACACAACAAGGAAGGAGGGAAGTGGTTGCCGGCCGGATCTGTCGTTGGCGGAACACAGCCCTAGCTAGGGTTTCTAAAAGTAGGGGAGAAAAAAATCGAGGAAAAAAAAAAAGAAGAAAGAGGAAAGAGAAAGGAGGAGAGAGGGAAGAGAGAGGGAGAGAGAAAAATAATACACAGAGTATTTAATGACTTAAAGGTAGGAAGTGGTCATAAATAGATATTTTGCTATAAAAATTAAAAGGTAGCTATATGAGATAATTTTTTAAAAGAGTATTTATTTATAATAAATAAGGTATCAACCTTTATTATAGGAGGTAAAATTTTCTATTTTAATCAACATTTTCGCCACTTCAGAGATTATTTTTAATCATGTTTTTGGTAGATTACTCGAATAATAATTAACGAATAACTAACATTAATAATTACTAGTTAACTCTATTAACAGTTGTATATTAGCTAAACATGATTATTTTCCATAAAATAGCCAAATAACGACCTGCATAAGTATTGGTTTGTGCAGCATAAACTCCCAAAATCGTTGCATATTGTAATTAACGATTTCTTATCTTTTTCCTGCAATATCTTGACTTGGAACCAAACGCAAATAAAACATAAATTAAAACGAAAAAGAACAGAAATAAGAAGAAAAAGGGGAAATGACCAACAACAAAAAAAATGCAAAACTCAAAACCATACAACGAAAAACTAACCACCAACTAGTTTTTGAAACTTCAAATATGAAGTTGTCTTTAATAGAAAATACCGAATTAAAAACTAAAAAAGAAACTTCGGACAAAAAGGACCATGAATCATGTTCAAAGCATTTTAGTCAATCATGGCAAAGCTGCAGT